TCAAGATAAAGTACAATTTATTTATCTTCATTTTTATTTTTCAAAACAATTTTTAATTGCTTTTTGCAGTTTGCATTAAATAAGTATTTCTACTAAAACATCTTTACAGTCTTTATTAAATTCAGAGACGCTTTGTTTCTTTCATCTCGCCATCTCGCTGTTTATCACAGACTTTTCAAAATCCCAAAAAAATCAAATCACACGTAAATACTTTATTGTGTATAAAGTATTTTCTTGTACTTTATTGTTCTCATAAAGTATAAAGTACAATTATATGAAATAGAGTACAATACTTTATTATAAAGTACGGGTGGCAACCCTATTTACTGTATAGGAGAGTTTTTGTTATAGCATCAACAGATATACATCATTTGTCCAAATTTCAGTGTAACTGTCTAGCTATCAGGGTGCCTGAGATATAGCCTGGTCTCAGTCGGACGGAATGACACCGGAATGTGTAGGTAAGTAAAGTAGGGTCAGGTAGGTAGGTAAAGTAGGGTTCCCGGTTTTTACCCTTTCCAGGGGCAGAACCCTGATAAAGATTATAAGATAAGGCCCTAGATAAAGCTGTTCGTAGTAAGTATGTGTTTAGGCTTTTGTGTCATACTAAGGTAGAGTCATGAACTATAAACCATTAACTCATCACATCACATCACCAGCCTATCAAAATCCCATTGTTGCGAAAAGACCTCTTCTCATATAGAAATGACTCATACCACCGGCCATCATTCCACTTCTTATACTTATAAAAAAAAAATTACTTACAATTTTCACAAGAAACAAGTATCAAATCATTTGTATACAAAAGAAAAATGTTAATAACATCCACAAGACAAAGAATAAACACAAACCCGTTGCAAGTATCCGTTACATAAGAAAAAAACATAATATTATCTAATAAAACAACTTCATAATTGCAACACGCAACGTTAATAAAACTGCGTGTACGATGCATCACGTAATCCTACTACACATGTGGTGTTTATAATTTTGAAAATACATACAATACCTTGCAGAAAGGCAAACTTTCCTTTTTATTCCTGAAATTATTACTTTCTCGCGTAAATTAACTGCGAAAGGCTCTACCAGTTTCAAGTCACAACGGGACTCTTATTCATGAGCAGCGTGAGCGATGCGGCGACATTGCGCATCGTGACATTTAGTATATCTCACTATCAGCATTTTTTCTTCATGCTCATGATATTTCTTTCTACTTCACTGTCACCGCCTCTTCATTTTGCAAAAGAGAAGCTTGGTATAATCTTCAAAACTGAGGTTAAAGATAGCAGTATAAAAGAATTTGGTTTATTACACAACGCTTCTGTCCAGCCTCAATACTGTAGCTAGTCAAATTCAATACTTTTATCCAAACGTCCAAAACGATACTTTTCTATGAAATTTGGATATAAAACTGAGTTATGACGTTATAACATTTTTGCATCAAATATTCTAAAACTTAGTGTATCAATCGATTGATGAATAAATGTATAGTTATTTTTCAATATTTTATTGTATTGAAACATCGAATTAATTTATTTTTAAACTACTAGGAAACTACCCATTTCAAAATGCCGTCACCTTAGTCGGGTGTTACGATACCCGCAGGAAGAGTAGAGGTGGTATATATTGTACTAAGAGGTCAGCACGACACGCTACGTTAATAAAACTACACGCAAGTAGCTTCGCTTAAGTAATTGTTAGTACTAAAACATCTAGTTAAGACTTCAAGGGTAACAATTGTAGGATAAAATAAAACGACACTAATTATACCTAATAGGGGTCTAGCATTGAATAAACGTGCAACGAACACGGAACGGAATAAGTTATTTTTATAACGTTAGTCTGTCGTTATAACATCGATAGTTTTTTTATCGGTTTTTGTTGATACCGGTTTTTGTCGTGTCCCATCCCTAAATTGGCGCGTTTTTTATCTGTGTTAGCTTGTTATTTTTCGTTCATTGTAGGTATAGTAATTCAATATTGTTAACATAAATATTACGAAATGTGTGAATAAAGATTCCCATTGTTACCATCTGTATAATATTACGTGATAATCAATGATGTATAAAACTATAGATACGTTGTCCGCGCTCTAAAATGACAACATGAAATGAAGGCAATTGACAACATCGCGCTTAGTTACGCACCAACCTGCCGCGCGACGCTACGTTTGTTTTTAATTTATATCGTGTGTAAACCTGTGCGAAACATAAAGAAAGCATGTCGTCGTGTGTGTTCAGACGATGTACAAATTATACTCCAAAAGTTAAAGACAAAAATGTGTCATTTCATGCGTAAGTTCACCAAACAACCTATTTTTATTTTATTTTTTTCGACGCCGGCGCCCGCCATCTTATGGCGGCCGGCGCATGAAGGTATAGTCACGTGACGTCGGCATAACTGAAGATGTATATTTATCTCCCTCTAGCAAAGGCATTCCACTATACGATGTCATATTTTCTTTCCCTTTCTTTACTCGTACAAGTAGTTATCTAGTATTTTCGCCGTTTTTAAGCGCCGCGATGTTGGTTCATGACGTGTCTATATATAATACGTCATTGGTGATAATTATACAAATTGATCTTAATTGATTATACTTTGTTCGAAACTTGTAATGTAAGAATTCAGTGTCTGAATGAATCATTCATAACTAGTCAAAAACCAATTATATTCGTCTGACACGTAAGTATGACTACACATTTAATTACAAACCTCTTAGTTATCTAAGAGGTTTGTAAGTTTTTTTGTAGGGGATGTTCTTTGGAACTGCTGGTCAGATTTCTCAATTTCTTTACTGATAGATAGCTACAATGTTCCTGAGCGTATTTAAGTCTAGCTATCGATTTAAACGCTGTCTTTAAAATCCCAGGAACGCCCGGGATACCTATATTACTTTTATACGAGTGCAGAGCTGCCGGCGTAAGCTAATTAAAATAAAACAAAATCGTTTCGATTCTGCAAACATTATTATTGCTCTTTAACTTTTATGACAACTAGCTTTTGACCGCGACTCCGTTCGCGTGGAATAGTGAGTACCTGCAGATTTTTGGTAGGTATATAAACTGAGTACCTACCCTATGTCCTTTCTCGAGTTCTTAACTATGACTGTACCTCATTCTTCAATCACTCGTATCTATTAAAAAACTGCATCAATAAGTAATCTGCATTTTAAGTGTGGGAGAGCCATGCTTCGGCACGAATGGTTCGGCTCGGCCGGCGTGATACCACGGCCTCACAGAAAACCGGCGTGGAACAACCACAACGTTGTGTTTCGCCGTGTGAGTGAGGTTACCGGAGGCCCAATCCAAATCCCAGTCCCAAGATTCCAATCCTTAAAAGGTCGGCAACGCACTCGTAACTCCTTCTTTGTTGCGGGTGTCCATGAGCGACGCCGATTGCTTACCATCAGGTAATCCGTCTGATCGTTTGCCATCCTATCACATAAAAAAAAAATCCGATGCGTAATTTTAAGCACACATAGGAATATAGGGACAGAGAAAGCTTATTTGTCTTATAATATGTGGTGACTTATTTAGCGAAGCACGTTCCTGGATCAAATCTAACATTATTAATATTGGTAAAATGTTTGCAAATACAATATTTTTCGGGTTAAGGACACTCCAACATCGATATTGTTATACATAGATAACAATACAGTTTCGATATCGCTAAATTCGAGATAAAATATACAAATATGATAAAAAAATTAAGGCAACGCAAAATATAATTGTAGGCAAATTCTATATTTGCGTAAAATTAGCCTGACTGACATTCAAGTCAGACTCTTACAGGGCAACAACCACCCTGTTCTTTCTTCTGTTTCGAGTCGCGGTACATAATCGGGGTTGCCCAACCACAGGTTGGAATATAACAATTATTTTTGTGTTGGATAGTCCTTTATCTAGGAAAGCTTTATAATAAGACATCGCGCTATGTCCTATAGAAGCCAGGCAGCGGATGAAACCGCGTGCAGTTATATAGTTTATGAAATAAAATAGTATAACAACCAGTCATTAACAACTCAGCCATTTTCTAGAAATAAATTGAGTAACTATCGAAATCTATACTAATATTATAAAGAAGTAAAATTTGTAAGTTTGTATGTAGGGGGTAATATTTTGAACCGCTGGTCGGATTGCCAAAATTCTTTCACTGATAGATAGCTACAATGTTCCAGAGTGCTATAAAACATTACGCTACGATTAAATGGAGATGAGCAGCGGGTGAAACCGTGCGAAAGTAGCTAGTTTTAAATAAAGCTACATAGTAAGTGTTGCCCGCATCAGGTTAACGCGTTCAATTCAATAGTGTTGCCATCAATTGTCTCACATGACATCAATTAATATTTATTGCTCTAAATTCTGTGTGTGTCTGTCATTTAAATTCCACGCTTGTCATAAGTCACGCTTTATCATAGGAGGGGCGTGCAAAAATCTGGAAGAGTCGAATTAAGAACCTCCTTTTACGAAATCGGTTAAAGTTGACTGAATATCACCATTTTTCCTTAAATTTCTTAGAGTTTTTTTCTTCATTTTTCCCTGGATATTTCAGGTTAGATAATAAGTTTTGAATAAAAAAAATAGATTTTTAGGCTAAGCATTTTACACTTAAAAGAAAAGGAAGTATTTCTTAGCCCGGTTAGGATGTTCTGTTTGTTTGCTTTTTAAATATGGTCTCCCATACTTCAGAACGAATGGGTCAGCTGGACCGGACCGGCTGTAACAACTACAGCGTTGAGTTAAGCCGCGTGAGTGACGTTACCGGAGGCCCAATCCTTCTCCTCTCACAACCCCTCTCCAATCCTCAAAAGGTCGGCAACGCACTCGTAACTCTTCCGTTGTTGCGGGTGTTTTACCATCAGGTAATGTCCGCATAATGTACTATATCAAATTGTGCATGAAGTATAAAATAAAAAATAAAAAGTAATGTCTGCTCGTTTGCCGACCTATCACATAAGAAATTGCTATAGATGTAAAAGTTTAGACAATTTAAGTACTTACCACAGCTCCGGTGAATATGGCGGCGATGTGGTGATTAACGATGGCGGTGGCATTAGCGCGTCGTTTGACAGCTGTCAACAAAACAAGAATTTATAATGACGTAGTTTTCTGTCAACTTAAGATTCTTAAGTTTTTTTTTTATGGGACAAGCCCGCTGCAACCTTCTAAACCGCTGCAACTCCTGTAAGCCAGGATCTACAGTAGATACAACCATGAAAACACCGGAATACTGAAGTCCGGCGCGTCCCAGGGACATGAATGACTATCTTGGATGCCGCAACGAAATAAATGAGAAGATATTATTTGAGGAGAAGAAAAAACTAAAAAGGTTCGACTTCCCTCGGTAAATTTAATGCAGGAGACAGAATGACTTAGGCATTTAGGGCACAGAAGAGACTATACAACTGAGAGAAATCCAGTCGCCAAACACAACGGAAATTTTTGTATTGTTATTGTAATGGGACCTATGTGTGAGCTGCTATAGTAGTTTCCAGTAATGGGTGTGCCAAAAAAAAAAAAGATTCTTAAGTATAGTTAAATAATGAGGAATTGTTTTTTTTTTCTAAAAAAGAAGCAGATTATCGCTTATACAGCAATGCCAATAATATCTTAATTTATCCTGGGAAATTATACAACAAAAGATGGTTCAGTAACTAACTTCTTGCTTACTTTGAAATGAATGTTCCAATAAAAAATTATATACTTTTTGACTTTTAAATCTACATAAGTATTTTATTTTGTACTCCTGTACTTTGTCTTAAGATTTCTCTGTCTCTCTCCCGAGCCCAGCCCGACCAGAGATTCCTCCCATTAATCGTGCTATTATTATATATACCTTTATATGTTATTATAGATATTAGTTAATATACTTATTTATATATACTTTATTGCACACATACACCAAGTAGCGATACATTGGATACTATGACCAAATGTTGTGATTACAATGGGCGGTCTTATCACACACGGTGATTTCTTCGAGACATTCTTTAGATATACATACAGGTTGTTAAATAATGAGATTGAGATATGGGCTTACCGTAGTAAGGACAGTGGCTTCACATCCCGGCTGGTACTTCTCCAAATCAGTGCGAGGTCTGCGCATAACTTTCTCGCGATCCTGTTTGTGTTTCCTGTCCGCTCCTTTCAATTTGAACACCTAAAGATAACATAAAAACAATGTTATTTAATATACTACTAGTTAGTTTGCTCAATAAATGTTATGTAAAACACGCAAATCAAGTATAATTTAAAGTCTATAGCACTCAGGAACATTGCAGCTATCTGTCAATGAAATAATTTTGCTAATCCCTTTACATACAAACTTGCAAATTTGAGTTGATTTTAACATTGATCGGGCTTTCGGAAACGGGCATTTGTCTTTCAACGTACCTTGATCTGACAGGCGGCAGCGTGGAGCCGGTTATGTTCGTCGCTGGCGAGGTAAGTCTCCACCTGTATACGGAAGGGCACCCCTTTCTCACCGCCATGCTTCTTCGCTGTAAACTCCGTTGATATGCAGTTCACCTGCATATGAGGAAGACAGAATATAAACATACTCCTAGGTATATAACTTTACAAACATCTTCGGATTAGATTCTTTTGTTTTTTCATTCATTTCATTTGTTCAGCTGTGGACATCTTCCGGCTGATGATGATGATGATGATGAAGTGATGAAGAGCCATGCTTCGGCATTGTCGTTGGGTTGACAGAAGTCCAATTCTTTCTCTCAGTCCTCCATCCCTCCTTAATCCTAAAATCTCCAAAACTCTTTTCCATGAACATGGTGTACATGGGCGGCGCTAATTGCTTACCATCAGGTAAACCGACTGCTCTTTTGCCAACCTATCACATAAAAAAAGATTGTTGGCCACACATACCACGGCGTCATAGAATAGCGGTGGGTTACCGGAGGCCCAAACTAAATGCATCTGCCACTACCTTGGAGCTCAGGTGTCCATGGGCGGCGTCGTTTGCTTACCATCAGGTAATCCACCTGCTCATTTGCCGATATTTCCCATAAAATACTCATAAGAGTGTCTGTCATTCTCACTTCAGTTTGTTAACCCTAGCGCAACACCAATAGTTTCTTCCAAAATGACCATTCCTACTGTAGATTAGAAAGTTCTCTTTAACTTTTTTTAAACGATTTTCTCCTGCTCCATTGTTACGTTACACATCACATACACATCACGCCCAGACCCGGTAGTTCCCATACAGTGTTCGTTAGTACGGGAATCGAACACCAACCGTAAAGACAATTATTTATTATACCTTAATATAAACGCCGACATCTTTAGTCGGGTCCCAGTAGACGTGGAGGGCGTTGAGACACGCCGGCTGCTCCACGCGTATCACGCCGTATGACAGAGGCACGTCCACCTACGAAGAAATATTATCTTATTAATATTGTAAGGAGGAAAGTTTTGATGTTTGTTTGAATTGAATAGGATTGCAAATGGCTTACGGATTTGAAAAATTATTACACTATAAACTATGGGAATGAAACTGCAGTGTGTAAATAATAATAGTGTATTAATAATAGGTAAGCTAAACCGATTACCAAATTAAATGTCATGTCAAAGAATTAAGATTTTGAGATGTGGACTTTTTCAGCAGTTGACATTTTTGAAAGGTTTTCGGCATTTAAAGAAGATAAAATTTTGAGGCATGGGTATATTAACACTTAGAACGCCGTGTCGGACAATGGCGTCCGACGCTAGCGGAGAGTTAGCCTTAAACAGATTTTGTCGGCAGTCAAATTGATTTTGAAAAGTTGACTTTTTGAGTAGTTGACGTTTTAAGCAATTGACATTTCGAGATACGGACATTTTAAGAAATGAATATTCTGAAAAGTTGACTTTTTGAGTAACTGACGTTGAGTAGTTGACGTTATATGAATACATTTGATGATCAGCTGACATTTTGCGAACTCATAATTATAATTTCATAAGTCATATTTTCGTATATTTCATATGGGAATTTGCCCAACCAAGCCTCGTACCTCAACGATCCTCTCGCCGGGTCTCTCGTTATGCCACTGGGCTATCTGTTCCCTCTCCATGTACTGTAAGCGACGCTCGTGAAAGCAAATCTTGATCACACTCTGAAATAGAAAATAACAATAAATAAGTAAATACTAATATTATAAAGAGGTAAAATTTGTAAGTTTGTATGTAAGGGGTAATGTTGGAACCGCTGGTCGGATTGCCAAAATTCTTTCACTGATAGATAGCTTCAATGTTCCTGAGTGCTATAGGCTATAAAACATCACGCTAAGATTAAATGGAGCCGAGCAGCGGGTGAAACCGCGCGAGAGTAGCTAGTAAGTAAATAAAACAAGCCAAGTAAAATTACTCGTCTGTGATGACACATCATATTGGTGCTGCACACATGTACAAGCTCCACGCACGTCGACATATTGCCGTGTAGGTATATAAAAACAGCCTACGAGTCAGTTGGACAAGTCTTGCTAAACGAGCAACCCCGCGATGCTGAATCAACAGTAGTAATAAAAACTCGTTTAAATAATTGAATAATTTTTATATTACATTCTATTCCCCCTCTTCTCAAATAAATGGCTCCGAGGTGCGAAGCTCACAGGGATTTGTCAAAATGATGTCAACTCACATTGGTACTTGTCAGATTTTGCGACCGCACCCTTAATTGTGAAGCCACGATTGAGCTACCAATACCCTCACTGACACAACGAAACACAACGCTGTAGTTGTTTCACGTCGGTATTCTGTGAGGCCGTGGTATCACTCCGGTCGAGCCGACCCATACATGCCGAAGCGTGAATTACACTTACACTTTTACAATACATATTAAGATAATAGTAGTAGTGGCTCGGAGGTTAAGGAGCCCGCTTCTCATGCATGAGGGTGTGGATTCGAAACCTGGCAAGTACCAAAAGACTTTTTCCGAGTTATATGTACTTTCTATGATTATTTAGGACACCACTGACATACGGTGAAGGTAAACATGGTGAGGAAACCTGGACTTAATTTCTAATTATAAGTTTGAAATTGCCAACCCGCATTGAGCAAGCATGGTGATTTGCTCAAACCTTCTCCGTGTGAGAAGAGGCCTTTGCTCAGCAGTGGGCACTTATGGGATGATGATGATTAAGATAATAATAATGATCAAATTCATACCTTTAATATCTTGCCCTTGTAATGAGATAGATCGCCGAGTTTCTTCAACTTGATCTCGTAGGGTTGACCTTGGTTCAGATACGTGAGAGTCTCCTCGTTCTGTTTGGTGGCGATAGATGTCGCTGCTGCTAACACGTACTGGAATCTGGTGGAAAATTGGTTTGGATAAGTATGATTTTTTTAAGAACGAAATTAATAACTGATCTGAATGTAAAATCTTTCAATATACTGTAATACGCTTTTTTTGGGGATAGGGCGGGAAACATGTAAATGATGCTAAGTGTCTAAGCTTATTTAATCTGTGGACGCAGCAACTCTATGGTGTGCGCCGGCCATTTTTATCTGTTAGCTAATGCGACGGCGCATTCGATAATATGGTGCCCACGGTTGAAGAATCATAATTCGCAACCACGTATTTTAAATCATACTGTAAATTAAAATTTTAAATGTACAAGTGAAGTTTATTCTCTATAAATTGGCCTCCATGGCCATCCGCATCATCACAAGTGTGTTGGTTGAAACTAAATCTTGAATTTGATTGGATTGAGGACCCGAGAAAAGATAGGTTTGTCAGTCACTCGGCGAAATAACACGAGTTGTTTCACGCCGGTTTTCTATAAGGCCGTGGTATCATTTCGGTTGAGCCTAAACATGGCTCTCCCGAACTTCAATTACACTAAAGAGAAATAAATTCATCCAAAGACTGACATCCCTGCAGTGGCCTCTACAATACCGCCGGCGTATCTTGGCGAGTCTGAAGTTAGCTGTTTGTCTGCGCAATGAATCTTTTAGGAACAAAATTGTGTACTGCGCAGCTAATCGGCTAACTTCAGACTCGCCAAGATACATAGGCCGTACTGTAAGCTAAGACCCTAGCCAGAGACAGCGGTAATATATAAAAAGATTTTTTTTCATAAAAAGTCAAAAAGATAAAGGTAAAAGGCAGTGTAAATTACCTGGTGTCGTCTTTGAAGCTGGGCTCAGAACGCGTCTGTATGGGGGAGTGCAGGAAACCGTCCAGGGAACCCACAGGCGAGCACATCAACAGACCAGCGTCTAATAATAACATCAAAAAATTTTTGTTTAAATTGCAATTTTCATCAAAATCGATTCACTACTTTATAATTAGGAGTGGCTTGTGGTACAAGGTAACTCGCTGGATAGACCTGATTAAACTACGAAGTCGACCGAATTACAGTGTACTCGCAACGCTCAAAGTCGACAAAAGTGGAGAGACATCGCTCAACGTCTGCTCTTGAAGGAAAGGACGACGGTATGGCGCAACCCATCCATCTACAGCCACGACCACTCTGCCAAGAGTGTAACGACTAAGAAGACTTTATAATTATGTGATATAATAACAAGCGGTCATCCATCCACGTTTATAAAAGAGTCTCGGGCGGGCCCTGGTCTCTCTCTCTCTCTCTCTCTCTCTCTCTGACCCTACGTAAGAGAGTTTCAGGCTCCTGATTAAAAACTATCTCGCTTCTTCTTCTGCTCCGGGCCGAGGCCGTGGTTAAGTATTGAGCTTGCACTTACAACCTAGCTAGCAGGATATGTACCTATCCAATCTAAGGCAAATATATTCAGAACAGTAGCCTATGTGTTAATCCAGGGAGTAACTTATCTACATACATTCTCACAAGCTTTCACATTTAATAATAATAATATTTGCAGGATTCTGTACTTCTACTAAACTAATATTAATTCAAGATCTTCAATGAAGCGACTCACTTTTATTCTCCTGTGCGCTTGGTGAATGGTATCCGTTCATAGGCATCAGAGTGCCGGCTGCTATTGTAGGCTGGCACTGCATGCTTTCTGGACTGCCTGTGATGGGGAAATATAGGTTTAGGGTAGGTAGAACGAAGTATATAACCATACTCATCATTATGAACCAGCTTCTGTCAGTTTTGAAGAGTTTGGTCTACGAATGGAACTCTTCCAATCCAAATCCACTAACAATTCCAAGTAATTTGATCAATTAAAACTTAAACCGGCTCTGTTCTACTTAATATCAAAAAAAGTTATGAATTACTCCATCTATCGGGATCTTCGAAAACAATTTACTACTAAAGTTTTGCGTCATCGATAAGAGATGTCGCCACTTACCATGTTGCACCATCATGTTCCCGTTGTGTGACGGTGACTGTTGACAACTGCCCTCTTCCATAGCATCGCGGTTGTTGTCGACAACCATGCTTGTGATCTGTAGGGGAAGAAAAAATTTAATATATTATACCTTATGTGATGTTACGAAGGAAAAATGTATGCTATTTCTGTGACTTGGAATGTAAAAGAAGGCGAGCATAAGAATGATTTTAAACTGATTCCTTGGTGAAGAAGAAGGATCGTGTCTAATCTGAACATTAGTTTATCACAAAAGTTATACTTAGTGCCCAAATTAATGAATGTTTGCAAAAACTTAATATAATATGTTGAGCTCAAAATACCTAATAATACAGTACAACCGAGCCAGATTAGCCAAAATCTAAAAACGTAATATACCTAACTTATGCTATCTTATATCACGCTATCATATACAGGATGAAGACCTAATAGAAGTTCGGAGAGTGATATAAGGCCGTTTTCAATATTCTAGACCTGTGTGATCACTTATGAAAATTTTACATCTAGTTAATTGTTGTTGTAGAAATTATTAGTTCCAATATATTTTTTCAGGCCGAAAATTGTGGGCGTTTATTTGAGACAATTTACTGCCTGTGTTGGATTTTACATAATTTTTGTTATTATTTTAGAAAATAAATGATTAAAGTCGGGAAATAGCAGCCATCTTGTTGCTGTTACGGTTCGCTGACGAAACAATTGACTGACACTAAAATAGTCGGATTCCCGTGTTAAAAAGGGGGGCATGCTTCTTATCAGTAAATTGGGTAGTTTCCTAAGTTAAAAATAAATTAATTCGATGTTTCAATACAATAGAATATTGATTATTTTATATACGAATATATTATTCTTTTATATACGATCGATCGATACACTAAATTTAAGATAATATTTTTTAGCTAATTTTTAAGAAATAAGTACGCCATTTGACGCAACGTACTATGACGTCATAACTCAGTGTGTGTCAGTTCATACAAATTTCATAGAAAAGCATCGTTTTTGACATTTGGATAAAAGTATTGAATTTGACTAGTTGGAAACTACCGTATTGTACTGTATCAGCCACTCAAAAACATAACCTATAGGTACCGTAGGTAAGCAAATCTACATATTGCCTTTTTCATGGCGATCTTTGGTGGAAAGCTTGATTGTTATAAATAAGTACGGTAATATACTAGCCATCTTAAATTCATCTTAAGTTTTCATTTTCCAACATGCATCGACAAACCTTAAAATTAAATATGAAAACAATATTTACCCTTTAACCTTTAACTAATAATATTGACTTCACAGAAAAATTTAATTCGCTATACAAAAACAAGTAATCAAATACTAATGCACTTTACATACTTTCACGCATCTAATGTTATGTGCACGTGTGCGTCAAGCATATTATGACACATTGATAAATATACGCAACAAAAACTACAATCATGTCTTTGAATTATATGCAAATTCTACAAGCTGAAAATAAATAGCTGACAAATTCCTAAAGCATTTAAATGGACTTCAGGCCAAATGATCATCGCTACTGAGCTACAAGAGATATAAATAACTAAGGTATTACTACACTCCTCCCCCTACCCCATACTTAATTCTCCTCTACCCTCATCTTTAAATTTCTAACCACTTAAACACCGGTCACCTACACTTAACTCCTCTGGCGTTACGTTATTGAGTGGCATTGATTGCTTAACATCATAAGATCCTTCGGTTCACTTATCGTTCTATCAAAAAATAGGATTGAAGGTGTTGTATCATCTCTAATTAGTCATACTAATCATTGTAACACTAGAACTGTCAATGTCAGTATCAACCTCTACTATAAATAAGGTGGTCGAGAGAGTGTCGGCCATTGACAATGTAACTCTAGTGCAGTAACCAAGTAAGTCCTTCATATTAAAAAAGGATCCAGGTCGACTTTACCCGTTACTCGGTATAAGTAAATGTGCTAATGATGATGCTGTTTCATTAATAATAATAATGTTAGAACATGAATATAGTGACACAGAAATTACTTTTAATGAAGACATGCCCTGATTTTTGATAAGAAATAATTTTAAAATGGAAACATGCTAACGAATTTATGTAAGTAAAATATGCGATAGTGAATTTGAAGTCAAGGCATTATAAGACTGATGGTGGCAACAAAAAAACCTAACCAGAGCCCACACAGATGAAGATTATAGGCCCATAAGGGCCTCAGTGTGGTTTGAAACTAGCCAGTCGTGTCACTCCGAATAGAATTACCAGTAAAAAAAGCTAGACCTATTTTAAAATGTATTTTTTATGAAGTGATAGGCTTTCGACGTATCTTCAAATAATATACCGTTTGTCATTTGTGTTTCAAAATAAATTTTTTACAATAAGACGTTTATAAGAGTTCATATTTTCATTCATTGATTTTACAATACATAATTAATTTTAATTTTTTTCTCACTTAATGAAGACGCTTGCACATAATGACATCATATAATTTTAACACATTTCGATAACAGCATTGAATTCGACTAGTTGCATTATGCATTTAAAACGTCGGGGTTGATTATAAATCGGTAATTTAAAGCGTGGAGCGCAGATACACTCAATGTGTTTTCTACTGTGTCTATACATCATATACCGGCAGACAAGAGGTTAATATTTTTTTTTGTTGTCCAGAGACAAGGATTTAGTGATTGGCAGAGAAGCTTACTAATTACTTCATCAACAAGTAAGAGTAGACACCACAATGCCCTATCAAACTCAAACAACGACTGACAAATAGGCACACAATACTCGAGTGAAAGAGACGCAACATCAAGCCTCCCATTCGCTCTCCCTTCAGCCACAAATAACTTGCCACCATCTTGAAGCTACAGAGAACAAGATAAAGGAAAATGAACTTTAAAACGTTCAAAATAAGCACCTCCCACATATTCTTCATTTCCCTGTCAGTCACTCGGCCCTGTTGTAAGTCTGTATATTCCGCATTGATCTGAGAATTAAAAAGAAAACCATGATGTGTCAGATGTATGGGCTAAATTGTTGATTTTTGAATGAGAATTCTTTTTATGAAACAAATATTGAATTTGATATATTGATCATTATATAGTTGGTTATGAAAGGAGATATAAGCCATGCTGGGTAGATTATGACCGTAATTTGCACTGTGTTTCGCCGTGAGTAAGATTATTTGTTTTGTAAGAACCTATTTGTTTGCTATTAACGCCATCTACACTTTAAGTTAAAATTAAAATGATATTAACGCCATCTACATTTTAAGTTAAAATTAAAATGATAGGGCGACGGTAGCTCGGAGCTTATGGCCCGCTTCTCATGCATGAAGGTGCGGATTCAGAACCTGGCAAGGACTGAGTTTATATAGATACCACTAAAAATGATGAGATGGAAAAATATCGTGACAAAACCTGGACTTATAATTTCTAATTACAAGTTTGAAATTGCCGCCTTCTCTGTGTGAAAATAAAGTGTTTGCTTAACAGTCGGCACTTATAAGCTGATATGGTGTGGTGGCAACAAAAGGAGAATAACGGAAAGATTTTGTCATTTGGTTTCATCTTAAGTAATTGAAAAGGGTTAGTAGTTCACTTGTAAATAGAATATTCGCATTCCTAAATGCCATAGCGTGATATAAGATAGCCGATTAAATATTATGTTTCAATATCGAAGGAAAATGGAGGTCTATTGTATTATTATTTTCGTGACACATATTAAATAATTTAATTGTATTAATCGGCTTACCCGCGTAATAAATAAGTCGCACCTAGGGTGGGGCGAGAATTATTGTCAGATTTTTACTATTAAAACCCAGTTCCTTCTTCTGCTGTGGGCCGTTGACATTGCGGTTATCTTTAGCTATAGCTCTCTTAAAACTAGTGCAGTTACATTAAATAATTAATTAATTAGTTAAACTTTTACGCGAGTAAGCCGATAAACATATTTAATTAATTTAATATAAAAGTAGGTGTAAAAATAATAAAGCTTTCAGTAATATTAGTAAAGGGTCTTTGATTTCGACTTTAGTAATATTAGTAAAGTAATATCAGTGAACATAGAAAAGGTAGTAGTAGAAAGACATAAACAAGGCGCGATCATATGTTTTCTAACAGCACATAATTATAACGTTTATAAAAAATAATCTATTCAAATAAAATGTTAAACATTTAGAATTTGTGTAAATCTGTAACTAGCTACAATATCTACAACCATTGAGGCTCTAATAATCTTTATGCAATTTGTGGATATACCTACAGTCATTTTCCGTGTGGGACTCGGACCCACCTGTACGGCAGGCAGTCGGTTGCCCAGACCCAGTCACCTGTGCCTAATTCCAAATAGTGTTTGAAAAAATCTATAAAAAATGCAGACTTCATTTTTACTACAGTACCTGTCTCTCATCAGGTCTCCTAGGTGGCCAGGCACGACGTGGCGGGGATAGCACGTTGCCAGTTGGAGACGGTGCTTCTTGTTTGAACACAGCCAATGATGGCAGCGACAGTAGCGCCTCGCTGCGGCAAGGAAAATTACTAATTAGTGAATGTTTTTAGGATACTGATAAGAGATGGCGCTGTTTCATTCCAGTAGAGTAGTGCGTGTTGAACAGTTGTAATGTCCATTTTAAATACGGTATCAACGAAGGTATGTGCTTAGCACATAAGGGTTGTTTATTTTTTCTACATCACGTACATTTCTTTCTTTGCTTCAACTCATCAATATTCGGTCAGTTGACTAAACTTATTAATAAAATTATTTGTAAAAGACAGATAAGGAAAGTATATTACTTTCTTTTAAATACAGATTGTACTTACTTCATAGACAGTTCACCAGGCAGCTCAAGATCGAGGTCGTTGACCTGCCAACCTGGTGACATGTGTGATGACGAGGAGCTGGTGCCGCTGCCACCCATATCGCTCAAGGCTGATGCTGAAAGAGATAAACAATAACATGACTAAGTGTGAAATAAATAGGATTGAAATTTTATAAACTGTCACATTGTTTGATTAAATAATCAATTATTAAAAATGAACGCTGGGCTAAAGCCAGTAACAGCATCAACAATGTACAACGGTAGATTCATTAAATTGCCTATATCGATTAAATTGATGATTTCATTTCCTAGATAATAGGTGGAGTTACCTGTATTAAAATCTATACGACATTTTTCATTATATTTCTGTGCATTATATGATAGATACTTCAAAACAAGATTATTCCGTTTACTTTTCTTGTTATACCTACTAAGTATTAATAAAACTTAATTTGTGATTATAATAATTTTAATTAGAACGAAGCGATTAATCTTAATCACGAAATTAGGTCGCTGTACAGTCGCTACTTATTATTATTATTGAGAATATTGTATGTTACCACTATTGGATCTAAGATTCAAAAGTGTATTACAAGCCCAAACCTTGAAATTAAATGAAATTGTAGCTTGATAAGTTATTTCTATATTATATCCACCTAGATTTGTGAGTATTTAACATGATATTACCGCCATAGTTACCTATTAAGTGTTATACAACACATTCTGTTATAACACTTAATAGGTTGGACAATGGCGGTAATATCATAACCTTAGACCTGTTGTCAGTTATCTTTTTATTTTGAGTGGGCAAGCAAGCAGGTGTCAGACTCTTACTGAATAAAAACCACCTTGTTCGTTGTCCTTCTCCGGAGCGGAGACCTTAAGTTACCTTAAGTTTAAATAGTGCCATAATTTCTAAACTTAACTAATATTCTATAATTAGTAGGTAACATCTAATTACAATCGACCCCAGAAACAATAAAAACAATGGAACGTGCAAGATCTATCGTACCAGAATAAGTTGGTTCATAACAGTTAACTTTTTGACCTTAGATAAGTCTTCTGGCTTGTTTACTCAATCGCTAATAGGTATACGTTATCCGGTTGTGACAATTTCGGGCCTCTAAAATAACAATAGTAAATTGGATGGAGATGGAGAAAGAAATTTGTAGTCCCTGTGAGTACTAGAAACTTATGTTGCTTTTTTCATTTCCATTTCAGGGTGTCCAAGTCTTTGGAAGGCAGTTTTCTATATTGTGTTTTTTGAACACATATCTGCTGTACTTAATTTCCAGGAGACAACAATAAAAAAAGTAACCATCAATATTCTATTTATCATATCTACCTATGAATAAGAACCTCACTAACTGACGAATAGTTTTCATCCTGAGGCTCTGATTGGCTATCAACTCTTTATAAACATCAATCAAACCTAGTTACCAACTAGCTCAAATGCGACACTAGCGCTAAAATATCAATAAAACTATTGGAACAAACGTAAAACAATTTAGTACTCATCAGTGTGTTATCTTATCAGTTAAACTTTGACCGCACCGAGTAATGAACTAGTTATAACTACTCCCTGTATCTGTTTTAGTCTGCATAGAATTAATGTCTGCGCTTAAATGTTTATTATGGATACTGGTTTCAAAATAACTGTCTTATAGACATAGTTGTTAAATATAGTTATCTGTCTATACACTAAGTCCTTGTTATTGTCAATGTTCACATCTAAACGCCTAAAAGCCGATTTCACTTCCTTGATAAAAGTATCTAATAAACTTAAGTGGCACATTTGAGAAACAATGAATACTTTCTGCAAAATAGAGTTTGAGCCCTGGTCTTACTGTTTAGCAATCAGGATAGTAAGCACTATTAGACGTAAAAGATGACCTTATAAGCATGGTGTTTTGGCTCTAATTTCAAATTAAGGTCGTGACTTGAACTTAATAAATACAAAAGTTAACTTAAATATTTGTTAAATCCCTCTTTGTTACAAATAAACTATTCGCTTTTTTTATGTAGGTACTTGGAGTTGATAAAAAGATCTCTTTTCAAGCTAAGACTGAAATTAATCAGACACCTTATGGATAAAGTTTAAATCAATAAATAAATTACGCCGAAATTAATTCAAAGTAAAATTGCAACAGAATTAACAATGTTATGACTATGAATGACAAACATAAAATTTATCGCATTCGCAATTTTAAAATTAAAGACGCAAGAAATCATCTTTATTTGTCAGCTCATAACATTTTATATCTCATTTGGTACTTTATTAAATGGAAAATTCCAACTGGCACTATCTCTGTAGGCACTGGTACCGAGAGGCGATTACGTAAGCTACAGATAAGTACCATTCTGCCACTAAAAGTGTCAGAAGACATAATCAGACTTGTTACTACCTAATGAATGTAGTTTGTTATCAAAAAATGACTATGTTATAATATTAGGAGGAATTAATGACACAAGTCCTTACAAATTGCAAACAAGTCTTTATAAGTTCGTTGACTCCTTAAAATGTACGAACATACTAATTAGTGAAATACCATTCAATAAAACTTTAAATGAGTGTAAATTAAATTATGAATTGCGTTTTGTTTGTAGCAAATACAGTAATGTAACCTATGTAGACATGGACTATAGTAGATTCCGACCATATAAATATAAGCAATCAGAGTACAAATGTCGTTATTTATTAAGGGAAATATTGAAAATCGAATATAGGCTAAAAAAGAATACATTTTATAGTAAATTAGACAGATTCACCAATACTACAACGTCGGACAAAACTACTCAGACAGAAATATTTGAAAATTTGAAAATTAATGATGAAATAAATACTAATGGAAACAATCCAAAAACGCTTGATCCTCCAAAGTTTTTTCGTGTATAACAGCATATTCATTTTGCATCAAAATATAAATGGACTTTTAAATAAACTTGACGTATTTACAGTATCATTATATGACTTAGCCGATAAAGGGAAAACTGCCGATGTACTATGCTTTTCTGAACACAATATGACTTATTCGGACCTTAGTTTACTACATTTGCGTAATTATTCGTTGGCTACTTATTTCACACGAAAATCTAGGCACGGTGGTACATGTATATTGGTAAGGTATGGAATAAAATTTAAAGTGATTGACGAAGTTGGTAAACAAAGTGTATCGGGCGTTATTGAGTGTTGTGCTTTGGAACTTACTGATCATAAAATTATAGTTATATGCATTTACAGACCCCCCCACAACAAAGAAGTGAAAAATACGTTTGAAATATTTTTTAACAATTTAAATGTTGTCTTACAACTGTGCTCATCTAATACCAATAGAAAATTAATCATTTGTGGAGATTATAATATAGACCTATTAAAACAAACAAAATATTCAGAACAATTCACTTATTTACTACAAGGATTCAACCTTAAATTTCAATTCAAAGAACCGACACGTCTGAGCAGTTGCACCTGCATTGATAATATTATTCACAATGTACGAGGATGCCAGGGTGAAATAATAGAATTTGCAGTGTCTGACCACACGGCACAGCTATTAAAATGTCCTGTTAAAAAAACATGTTTATTGGATCATTGGTTCTGTACAAAACGCGATTATTCGAAAGAAAACATAATTAAATTTTGTAACTGTTTTAAAAATCTTACTTTTTCAGAAGTATACGACCAAAATGATCCAAATACAGCTTTTAATACTTTCTATGAATTGTTTGTATTGTTCTATAATTTATGCTTCCCCGAAATAAAAATAAAAATATCAACTAGGCAACGTCCTAAATGGATAAGTCGTGGTATTAAAGTTTGCAGTAAAAGAAAAAGAGATTTACTATGGAAATATAGATTGTCACCTTCAAACCTCAATAAAGATAAATTTAAAAAATTTTCAAAAAAATTTAAGAAGATTACTCAATTGACGCAAAAAGCACAAAATAATAATTTTATACATCTAGCAAAAAACAAATCCAAGGCTACATGGCAAGTAATAAATAGTTGTAAATTTAGAATACCTAAGGAAAGTATTATGCGAATAAAAATTGATAACAGGATATTAAATAACCCATCTGAAATTGCGCAAGCTTTTAACAATTTCTACATTGATCAAGTACAATATAATTGTTCAGTTAACACGGGGTCCCACTCATCTCTAAATAATACTTGTTCTTCCATGTTTATGCTTCCAACTTCTCCACAGGAGGTATATTATATTATAATGCAATTAAATAATACAACTAGCACCGGATATGATGGTATATGTACAAAAATAGTAAAGTCAGTTTCTAAATATATTGCTCCTATTTTAAGCCACTTAATTAATACGTGTATAGCAAATGGTAAATTTCCTGAAACATTGAAGGTAACAATTATCAAACCACTATTTAAAAAAGATGATGTTGAAAATATGGCCAGTTATAGACCGATAGCACTAGTGCCCATATTCTCAAAAGTTTTTGAAAAGGTGATATGTAAAAGAATTAATGACTATTTTGAAAAAAACAATTTATTTACTGACAAACAAAAAGGTTTTAGAAAAAATATGTCTATTGATATGGCCATTTATGAATTTTTAAATCTAGTAACGTCACGAGTAGATAAAAGACTGCCAGTATTAGCGTTATACATGGATATGTCCAAGGCATTTGACTACGTTGACCATGACATTTTGCTCAGGAAATTACACTCGTATGGCATAAGAGGTAACGTTTATGATCTTCTTGAATCTTACCTTAAGAACAGACAACAATTGACCGTTATAAATAGAATATGTAATTTAACTAAAACTGAAACAAACTACGAATCTAATTACAGAACTATAACACACGGAGTACCCCAAGGAAGCGTTCTCGGACCTTTATTATTTCTTATCTATATCAACGACTTCCCCACGTCTACAAATTACCCTATGATAATGTTTGCTGATGACAGTACAATAGTTTTTGATAATAATGAATATGACAAACTTGAATGTGACATAAACAATAATATAAAATCTGTAATAAATTGGTTACAATGTAATAATTTAAAAATTAATCTGGACAAAACTTTAATTATGAAATTTGGACAAAGAACAAACAATAAATTAAACCTAAATATAAGTTACAA